TGAGAAAGTGGTTTTCTGCATCCTTCTTAATCCATACAAATTGCATGATTTTATATTACATTTACAGGTATACACTGAGTTGCATGGGTCACAGGCTTACAGTACATTTCATGTCAGAACGATATGAATATCAATCCAAACAGTCCTACATGAATTGCAGATCTAAACTGCATTTAATTTGGAACCAAATCTCATCCTAACTTTTGATTTCTTTTCTAATTTTAATATTTATATATGAATATACAAATGTCTGTAGATATTTTGAGATCATAATGCGTGGCATAGAAAGTGGTTTGTTTTTATTGGAAACCACCTAGCTTTCAAGGACTACATCAAGTAAGATCTAAACAGATATAGAGAAGGTTCTAATGAGAGGCAATGTTAAAGTATTAAGGTAACAGTCATCATGGCTATCTGCAGAGTTAGTGCCCTTTTTCTTTTTCCCTTTTCTTTTTTTTACATCTCAGTGCAGAGCAAATATCTGTTATTATTAACATGTAAAGACATCAGAGTATCTTCTGTGCAGGTGTTTCTTTTCGATCAGCTGAAAAATGTAGAATAGAGACAATTAATGATGGTTTGCACACACTGTGTGAGAAACGGCAGATGGATGCTAGGAGACAAGGACCTTTCATTAGAAGTGGTGTTAAGTTTCAGTGCGTCACTTTTCCACAGATTCTTTAGATTCAAGTGGTATTTCTAAGTCCTCTGCAGCTGTAGGGCCTTGATTTAACATGCCTGTAACTAGAATCCAGCTCTGCTTTGCAGGTTTTGAGGTTAAAAGTCAAAGTGAATTATTTTCTCAGAAATCCTATCTTCTTTGTTAGTCAGTAGATCTTTAGAATAAATGCAGTTTGTATTTAATGTCAGTTTCCTCAGAAGACTGCATTGTAGCTCACAAATGCTAAGGTTTTCTTCGGTGTGCAAATGTGATGGTTGTGCTTCCTTCTAGTGACCTGGTGTATGGTATCTGCTGTGACAGAGCAGTGGTCCTCCAATCTGTTATGGATTATGAGTACAGTATTTCTGGCCTGCATTTCTTGAGGATGGTGGAATGAATCAGGAATATTGGATCAGGCCGTACACAGGAATTAGATTACATGCTGCTTCTGATTTAAAAGCTTTTAATAGGGATGTATTGCAGAGGAAGGGTCTTACTTTGCAACATTTAAACATCATCTCCTTACCTTTTGGCTGTGAAGTAGCTTACATGTTGTATTTGAGGCCACCTATGTGTGTTTTTTTAAATGTCATCTGTATTTGCACTACATTCAAGAGACAGTACCAAGAAACAATTTCTTTCAAGACCTTCTACCAGTATGCGGCATATAAGTCTGTGACAAGTGATGTTACAGAAGGTCATGTCACTTTTAACTGCTTACATTAGATCTTTCTGATTTCCCTAGTGCCCTTCCGTTGTTTGATTAATACTACTTGATTTCAAACAAGGTATCAGAAGGCATCATTTAGAGTGAATGTTCTAAGGACAATGTAAGATTTTTTCCACAGAACGTTTATTAAGATAAATGTAACATTGCATTTTATCTTTATTTGCTTTTTTCCCCACCTTCTTTCTCCTCTCCTTCCTTCCCCATCCCCTCCCTCGCCCCCTTATACCTCCTCCAGATGCAGTGTTTGACATAAGGATCCAAATAACTACTGTATTCATTCCAAACAGAGTGGCACATGAGCACTTTATTTGAATAGAAATGAGACAGAATCAAAGGATTAAAAAAATCCATGGTAGGGTTTTCTTCCTACTGTATTCTTAATAAAATATTAAACTGAAACCTGTGTTCAGATCTACAGTACCTTTCTTGAACAACCTTGCTTTGTTCTGGAGTAGACTGTACTTCAATATACAGCTTTTGTAAGGCTTCAGTGTGCCAATAATTCATGTATATCATAGGACTCTGAAGAATCTACTTTCCTTGTTATAATTTGTGGCCAAGTTCTGAAACACTTGTTTCGGTGCTTTAATGAATTGTATTCTCATATCCGTATTGTTTTAATGGTTGTGTTTCTTGGGTTTTTTTTCTTTTAACCCTTTCTTTTCAATTTCAAGACAAGTGAAAGCATGGACTATGTTTCATATACTTCAAATAATTATTTATGCATCTTGGGCATTGGCACATTTTTATTGCATTTTATTTTGCTACAAAAATTGAAGTCTGTTTTTCTTCCCAAACATTTCAGTACTCCAAATCTAAATGTAATTGATAGCATGGCTAAACTAGAAAAAGAGCATAGACTAGTTGTGCGTTCGAATTAAAAAATTGAATGGAGGAAATGTAAATCTGGGCTTAGACTGATAATTCAAGCAATTTCAAAGGACTTTTTATGCCCTTTGAACAAGTTAACATTTTGCCTCTCTATAGAAGCTTGCAAAGTAGTTTGAGATCCTTAGATGTGGGGAAAAAAAAAAACACCTGAATCTCAGGTGTTATTATTTGGATAATTTAGAATGGATATTGTCATGCAAGTGATTTCTGTGAGGTGCCCTCATCTACAACAATTTTAGAGATTTCCAGATCAACTAATTGTCTCCATGTTAACTTGAATGCTAATGTGAGATAGGCATCCTGCTGTTCAGCCTTCTCAAGACAATGAATTTCTGGATGTAAATAAAAGAGATCTTTAAATATCTAGGGAATGTTATTGTTGAAAAGTAAGAAACCTACTGACTTAGTGACCTCTGGGCATTAGGCAGTGCATGAGTCAACATACCTGATTTATATCTAGGGCTTTAGTTGACTAATGGTGTAGTTAAGTGGGTGTTTTGCATGAGGAAAAACTGATCTAAGAGAGTTTCCATCTTGCCGCAGCCCTTAACAGCTTGTTTTCCTCCTCTTTTCTCAGTTTACCACATTCTTCATAGAGCTGGTGAAGCTGCTCAGTAAACTGGGTCACTGGAACCAACTGCAGTAAAGGTTTGAGGATGTGTGTTTTTGAAGAACTCAATTACTCCAGTGATGCAGTTTACAACTCAGCTCCCCAAAGACTTTGAACAGCCCAGGGAATGAGCAACCAGGAGATGAACAAGAAGGTGATGCGGGTGTGCAGTCTTTGTTTTAGACTGGTCACTGGTCAGTGAAGACTGGATCACTCAGACACCTTTAAATGGGATGTAGGAGGTGCGTTGAACTAAGCAGGAGCTACATGCGTTTCAGCAACCTGCTCTCAACATTTCCCTGTGATCAAAACTGTCTTTGATCAGCTTTCTTTGAGCAGAGTTGGCCTAAAAGGCCAACAGACTGGTGAGGGTGACTTCTTCACGGATAGTGACCGGAGCACAGCCTAGATTCCTTCTTCTGCGCAAGCCTCCTTCTTCTGCTTGAGGAGACTCGGGTACATGTGCCAGCCTGCCTGCCAGGTCCAAGGCTGCAGAAGATGTACTCAGTCAGGCTCCTTCTGCTAAAATTGTTATTCTGGGCATGGAGTAATTTCTTGATTTCTCAGATCATGCTTCCTTCTCATGCTTTTGGACATGCTTGCTCTTCTGCTTTTATCTCATTCAAACCCCAGGACAGACCAGCCAGTAGGCAGAACTGGAGGTTCTCCTCTAAAGTTCTGTTGTTAGAGGGGTTCTGGGACAGGGTTCAAACAAGGAGGAATAGCTGAAACTGCAAATATTTTGAACTGCAGGTGCCTTGTATGTATGCACAGCGCTGTACTAGGTGGGCATGTTGCATCAAACCATGTGTTGTTTGTGGTCTGCATGGGCCCATGTAACATGGCTAATTGGGACCTTCTTGATGGTAGAGCTAACTCTCAGAAAGGAAACTGATTCACACACTTTTATTTTTCAGTTATTCTCTTACCTGAGTTTGGGTCTTGGATAACGTCCCTTAAGTTCTTGTACATGGATGCGGGAATACCCTTGAAGCATTGTCTGAGGGGGTGGCTATGAAGTTGTAATTTTAATATGTTTTCTTAAACAAAAACTGTTTCATATAAGTGAGTTTTGCCTCTACTTTCCCTCTTTATGCATATTTTATAATACGTCATAGAAAATTTTTCCACCCATAATAGGACACTGGGCTAGTTTGACCTTTGTTGACATTCGTTATTGGTTTTCTTATATCCTAATAGGTACTTATATATATATGTACACATAAAGATATAAAGAAGCACACTATTTTCTGGTTATAAGGAGGTATATCAACAGAGAATTTTCCTGTTAGGGTCATTCATCACAGTGTAAGGAGAGAGAGATTTTAAAGTCTGAATCTGCCATGGCCCACGTTTGGAAATCATTTGATCTCTATGTAAACCAAACTTAATGATTTATTTCATGCTGATGATATAATTAATAATTATTAATATTTGGAGAAAAAATTTAATGTCTTTATATTTCATAGCGTTGCACTGAAAAACTATATATGGAAAAAACCATAGATGCAGATGTGGCAGGTGCAGCTAGCAATTAATGTGCATAAAGTTAGATGCACAGATTCTATAAAATTATTATTAAAGAAACATAGGGGTAATGTTGATAGAGCATATGGTATATATCACTGTTGAACATGATAAGGAGATAAGCTACTATGAATTTATTACCAGCTTTGTATTCTTCAAGAATCTCTTGGTGAATACTGTAAATTCTATTAAAAGTGTTGACCTTTTATGTAGGTAACTGTAAATTTGAAGTGAGCATGTGTGTGTGCTGCATAGGCACCAGTGGAGCTGACAAAAGATTCCTTTAGTTAAAGCAGGCATATGCTGAATTTTGAACTACCTTTTAAATACTTAAATTGTCAAACAGGCGTTTCGCAAAGGAAGGGTTTTCAGTATATAATTCCCCAATGTAGGTCAATTAAAGCTATAACACTTTCTTAAATTTGAATCACTAGATCAAGTGTTTTTTCCTAGTTGTACATTTCCCCCCTGTGCATTTATTTCAAATGTTAATAAAGTTTTCATCTACAAAAGGCTTAGAATTGACAGAACAAAACTCTTTCTTTTTAAATGATGACAACTACTACTGTTTCTGTCTGCAGGTAGTGGAGGACATGCTAGAGGACGAGGAAGAAGAGGATGACAGAGATGACAAGGTAATTATCTTTCCTAGCACTTGGGTATCTGGGGATGGGAGAATTTAGACATGACACTGTTTTTACCGACAGTTATAAAAGAAGTTGATGTGTTTTAGTCCAGAAAATTGGACAGAGCTGTTTATCATCCTAATAATGCTATAGTGTGTTGAGGGAAAGGTTGGAGGTCTGTAAATCCTTTATTTTTCTTGTTTTCTTTTTCTTTTCCTTCTCTTTTTCTTTTTTGTTTTCTTCTTTTCCTGTTCTTTTTTCTTTTTCTTCTTCTCCTCCTCCTCTTCCTCCTCCTCCTTCTTCTTCTTCCCCCTCTTCTTCTCCTTCTTCTTCTCCTCCTCCTCTTCCTCTCTTCTTTTTTTTTCTTTCTTTTTCTTTCTTCTTATTTTTCTTATTTTTGCTTCTTCTTCCATTTTTTTAATTTTAATTTTCTTGGTCTAGAGCTGGATCAGATACTTTTATCTGCCAGAAAAAAGTATGCCTCAGCCTGTCTGGACATTTGTGAAAGATAACAACTTATTTTGGAGGACAAAAATTCCTCATGTCTTGAGTACTACAAATAGGGCGGCACTTCAGGGAAAGAAATGGTACGGAAATGCAACTCTATACTGGTTAAGGATCTCAAATTTTCAAAGAATTTCTGGATAAAAGAATGTCTTGAATGTTTTGCAGTCCATATGACATTTAAATAATCATAATTCTCATAGACATCCATTTGATTTGAAGTTTGCATTGTGGCTCTGCACGCTGGGAAACCACAGTAGATAATTCACCTTTTTGAGTGGACACAATTCAGTTTTGATGGTGCTAATTAGTTTGAGGATTGCGACCACAGTAAATAAAAACTCATTTCCACATATTATTGAGCCAAGCCATGAGACTTCTTGGATTGGTTGTCTCCCAGAGAGGGAAAAAAAAAGAAAAATAAATCAGAACTACCTGCACCACTGAAGCAATGGCTAGCACTGGCAGGATGGCTTTCTGGTGAAACGGGTGCAGTGAAGACAGCCCAGTTCTTGATGGTATTTTCCTATCAGAAAGGTGATACTTGTGGAAGAAAATAAAAAGGAAAAAAAAAATAGATAGTTTTACAACAACTGTGTATTAGAAATCAGATTATTTTGACCTTCACAGATGTTCCCCCACTTCTGTTGTAATATAGCTTTTTTTTTTTTTTCTGAGAGGAGAAAAACAGTGCATCTTAATTTATGCTCTTGACCTTTTTTCTTGCTGAGATGTACATTTATACACCACTGTAAGAATTCATATGCTGGCAGCAGCATTTGAAATGTCAGAAAATTCACTGTGATTAGTTAGTCCCCTCAATGATTATTTTTCTGTTAGCTAACATCTAAGATGAAAGAGATTATTAAAAAATAGGAGTATTTTCCTTGTTCCGTTGCTAGGTCAAACATTTTACAATTATTATGTGAAATTCTTCTACACATCACCTAAATTGTTAGCTACATGATTTCATAACAATGTACTAACAAAATCTTCTTTTATAAAACACATATGTGGTGTTTTTTAATGCTAAATGATATGAACATCCATTTCTAGCAATAAAATACATGATTTATTATAGAAGTCCATCATGTAGCTGCGGAGAGCTTTAATTTTATCTCAATATGCTAGCTTTGAATCATCATTTGTTGATAAACACTGATTTACCATCCATTTGTGGCCTTTTTCTTCTGTTTCTTTCTGCTTTATTATTAGATTTGGTGCAAATGTGTCATACCTGTAGTGTGTGTATTCCTGGATATTTTAAGCACTGTGATTAGTTCACAAAGAATAGTACTTGACTGCTTGTAGTTTAAACCAGCCTGTGTAGTTTCTGCTTAGTGGGTTTTGGAAATTGCTAAACAAACTTCTTTAAAGGAGAAGATGAGGACAGAGGTCAGCCCCTCCCTCCCCCTAATTCTCTAGTGATTCTCTGAGCAAACGCCCCTAATTAGAAATATCACTCTAGGTTTCAATGTTGTGATCTAATATTCAGCTTTCTCAAACCGACACCAGAGTTCAAACATTTTTCTAGATCTAGTTACCAAGGTTGAATTAAAGTGAGTACTGACATTACTGTGTGCATTCAGTGAGCCCTTTTATTGAATATTTAAGAGCTGTTTTTCTATACAGAAGGTGTTAAGGTTGATTTTTATAAATTCAAAGCTGTCTTCATTATTGCAAATGTTTTGAGCTCTCAAGATTAAATATGCTGTTTGAATTGGGAAAAAAAGCTACACTTTTTAAAACAAGCATGTATGGATTATTCTATTTTTTCAATATGTTTGCAGTGGGGGTTATTTTGCACTAGATTAAATTGTAAATAATAAGCACATGATTAGGACTACTGGTTTGTTGTTAGAGGCTAGTAGGCTGTTTTTCCTTTCTAGTATGCTAGACATACTCTCTTAACTACTGCTGTTCCTCTTATATCTTTTGTCTAAATGGAAGAGTGCAGGTTTGTGTTATTGTAGTTCATGTGTGTTTTCTGACAGCTATGTGCAAAATAAATTTTTGTTAAAAACAAATGGACATTTTGTAACACCAGCTGGTAGTGGTCTCTGGCTTTTATTATTTATCTTGGTTTTTCATGTGGTATAATAAGAAACTAGGGAAAATGGGTCTCCCTTATGCAAACTTACAAGATTAATAAATGTGCCAAACCCTTACTTTCATGAAAACTGAAGCATATGTTGCAAATACATAAAATATACCCAAGCTGTTTGACCATGGCCAGTGTCCTTGCTCCCTGATTACCAGGAGGAAACTCTTAGTCCTGTAACCTTTGGACTTAATGATCAATAGGGTATTACATGACATTAAACTGGAGCACCTGTTTTCCATTTAGTAAAGGCTCCTTGCAGGCTTTACCCAAACCTATCCATATGTTTTCACTTACCAGATTGTTGAGCGATTATGGAAAGTGTCTTCCTTTAAAGATGACTTGAATATCAGTGACTTGCTGTGTGACCTCAGTGTGAGCATGCACTGATGTAGGTTCTGTGTCTGTTCTGTTTAGGGATGTTGCTCGACATCCCTAAATTGCAGTTACAGAAAAACTTAGTAAGATAAGGATGATGAACAATGAAATATATGAAATTATTTAATGTAATGCATTTTATTAATAATGGTGTGTAATACTGACAAGATAAATTTGTGCTTACCATGTCTCATTCTAACGTTGTGGATTTTAGTAACTTTTTTCACCCTCTGCTGCAGTCAAGACAGGACTGTTAATTTAAGACCACAGGATGTGTGTTTTTTACTGGAGTATCTTAACTTTCATCTTCACTTGCAATATGAATAATAAACCAAAGCAGCAGGTATGCTACCTGTAATGGTTACAAAGTGGTGCTTAGCAGTGGAACACTTTTTTTCCTGATTTCTCTTCATTGTCTTGCTATGTATTTAGGAATTGAAAAAGATGTAGTTTGTTTGGCTCAGGCATTTGTCCTTCATTTAATAGTATTTTTTCCAAGAAATAGCATTCGATTCTGCATTCCATATGTTATGTAACATTTGCTAAACCTATGCCAACCACAGATTTACAGTTTAATCTGATTCCTCTTCTTTTTTTCTTTTGGCTTCTTTCCAAACATTGGCTTATGATGGGATTCCTCTTCTCCCCGGGTCCTCTCAGCTAGCTCTGGATCGTGGGGGACGGAGAGAATTCCAGCAAGGACAAAGGCAAAAGAAAAGGATGCTCCTTCTTCCCGGGACCAATATCCCACTTTAACGTAGAACGCTTCCAAGGGAAGAAGAGAGGGAGTTTAGAACATGGCAGGAGGTTTTAAACGCGAGGGGAGAGGAGGAGCTGAAACACAGCCAATGGGATACTCCCGAAGGGGAGGGGCGATGAGGAAAGGAGAAACCTTCCCCTTTGGGGAGTACAGAACAAACGTTTCAGTGCAAATATAATAACCATGAACCCTGTGATACTAAACAAATCATTTAGTGCAAGCAACTACATAGTGCAATACAACAGGCTTATAACCATATCTTAGCAAATAAGGGTCAGTTAAATTACATGAAGTCAAGATATCAATAAGCTATCAAAAGGATTTTTACACAGTTGTAATAATGTAGCAGTCAATCTGCATAATCTATGTATCTAAGATTGGTCTGTGTATCTAAGATTTAGTTTTTAAGAAAGTCACATATGCTTTTCATATAGCTTTATTCTTTTAATATGCTCCAAGTAAGATTTCAGATAATCTCCAAGATTTTCAGGTCAGCATTTTGCTGGAAGCCCTCAGCATACCACAGAATTAGGCCAGTGAGAACTGCTACCATTGCAGGCATAAAGGGAAGAAGATGCACGTTTTGAACACTGTTTTGTTTTACTTTCATACTAACACTTTATTAAGAAAAAATATTCAAAACATTTGCACATTTGGTTAGTCTCTCTTTAGCCTTTCCTTCTTTGAAAAATTCTTTGCAGTCCTCAGTCAATGATATTGTACCTCAAGATAAGCAGAAGGTTTTGTAATTAATTATAGCTCCGTCAAATTAAAATATGTTTTAAAGCTTTTAATCATTGCTGCTGAGAGGTACTAACTTTGTTCTCAATACAAGACACATTTGCAACCTGTCTCAGAAGCATTTTTACTGAGAAGACATCATGAGGAAGAGGAAAGATAGCGTCGATGCAGCCTGCGTTTTTATATTCTATATATTCTATAAAATATATTTTATATATTACAGTGGCCATTATTTTCTATAAAATAAATGGTGGGGAAATGATACAGAGAAAGAGAGTGAATGGAGTTAAAACTCCATAGACCTATTTGTCCACCTATAGCTTGATTCCACCATTAAATTCTACATTAATATAGCATCTAAATATTAACTGTAAATAAAAAACCAAGAGCAGCTTCCAATGAAAACTGTAGCTATGTATGAATCTGTTATCCTCTCAAGGCTTAGTTGATAAAACCATGTGTACTTACAAAAAAATCTCTACAACAAAGCTGCAGAAGTCATACTTCTCAGTAAGTTTGCTTTCT